TAGAAACGCTGTTTGTCGTTCAGTCCCGTACATTCGACTTACATCTCAGAATACATCGAAGGAATTGAACGTCTTTCCATGAAATACATTTTTAGTGTATAATAAATTTTCGAATGAAATATGTTTCGAAATAGATGTGTATATTTTTGGTGAATGATGTTAGAATCGGTTCTCTCTTTGCAGGTAAAAAATATGCTTTTTGTCAATGTTCGATCGTCTCAAGTTTTTCAGTTTAGATTTGTACAATGCTCATCGGTGCATGTCAGATTGGTATGACTCAGTTGCCATATATATTTATTTTTTCATACAAGTTTTGTAACCTTTCCTCTGAACTTTTGGAGGTGAAAAGAAATCGTTACTTTATTTAAATATTTTAAAGATTTCAGAGAACATGAGGCTTCCATGATCGAGCGTGTGCGGAGCTCGAATTAGCCATCAGAGTGATTGTTTGTTGCACATGCAGACCTGCACACGCGTACATTTTCTTTCGATATTTCTGAAAATATTGTGCAGCTTTCAGTTACACAGTCATAGTTGTAAATTCAGCAAAAGTTGACGGATTATTAGCTTGAACTATGAATTCAAGGCTTCATGTTCAAATATGAAGACAATTGCGTTGAATTTTGTTTTCAAGTGATATGCTGAAAAAAGGGAAGCAAAATAAATTTGTTCAAAATTAACGTAACTTGAAAGTTGCCGGAGTATATTGAAATTTTTTTTATAGTTTTCTAATTTGATAATTAAAGCCAGATAACGAATATAACCAGCCAGTATAACGATACTCGTTATTGATTGCTAGAATTATATTATATTATATTATATTTTTCATTCAGAATCTTTGAAAAGCATCAAGTTTTTATTAATAATTAACTTTTTGGAAATGTACTTTTTACCGTGTAAAAAACCTGCCAAATTGCAACTAGAAAAATTATTGACAAGTTAGGTTCACAATTGAGGAATTAATATTGATACATAATGATAAAACAAACATTGAAAAATATTTGTCGAAAATTTACTACATAAACAAAGAAACGAAATTCATCATAATGAAAATTAACGAAAAGATAATAAAATAATTAACTTTAAGGTATTGTCGGCGGTGCTACCGAGGGTTAATCCTCCCATTAATTCATCTCATTTCGTTAGTAATAATTTATATCATTAGGAAAATGGTAAATGAAGATAAACCAGTCAATGAACGGAGTTAAAAATATATACCATATTTTAAATTAGCGCTGAATGGTAATTGATTGTTGAATATTAAGTTTTAATTTCTCAAAATTTCGTCAATAAAAATGAAATTTTGTCTGTAAGCAATATCCGAGGCTATTGGTATTGTGGACGCATATATTGCTCTCAAGTATTTCTATTGCATTACTGTAGGCACATAAAAAACAAATGCACCTACCAACAAAATTTTTGAAATATGTGATAAATACTGTATTTAATCAGAGTCCTCAGAGGCGACATTGTTATTATGCATGAAAATTAATAGACATTTAAAAATTGGAAATCATGATTCTAGCTTGATGTCGCTGTTACGTTTTTAGAAACGCAAATAATGTACTTTATGCGCGGAAAATAATTGTTGCTAATCCATCTTCACCCGGATAATAGAATATTTACAAAAGGCAATTGTTAGGCTAAAATTTTAAAATTTCTATTGGCACCTTAGATGTGAAATAATCAATGTAGTTATCAATGTTCAACCTCCGTCAGGAGTGATGGCTTTCATTTTCGGATGTTAATATAACGTAACAGTTAAAAGTCAATTAATTATTAGGTCCTAACACCGCAGACTTTTGGTAGAGGCAACTAACCACATGTGTAAATTTTAGGCAGTCATCAGACGTAATGCTCTCAAAATTCTCTGTGCTAATCTATACGTTACAGACTCACGAATGATACAACAACTTATTTATGAAAAACAATGTTATATTATACTAATATTAATTAAAATATTATTTTAAAAAATCAAGACAATATGAGTCAGTTGTCGCCCTCTTGTGAAAAGCCTTGTGATGGAAATTAAGACCCCAGATATTCGTGCGCACAGGGAAAATTATACATCGAGCAATGTCACTGTAAGTCCGCAAACAAGAGGGAATATTAGCATTTAGCAAGAAAAAATTTCAGGTGCTACTTTCGACTGGAATATTCCCATTTAAAATCTTTCATAAGAAAAATTAATGCCTCATTCACAAGCTGGGAGTTTTTAACAACACTTCCAACCACAAATTGCTTGCTTTTTGCTTTTTCTGAATTATTTTTTTATTCACCGTATTTGCAAGAGGAGCATTTAAGTTGCCATTTGATATGTGCAGATCGTAAGGACTGCAAAGCTCCTGAGAGATTTTGTTTTATGTGTTGCTCGGAGTCGTGTGCCGGTGTACGAATGTTGTGTACCGCTGTATGAATGTTGTGTGCCGCTGTATGAATGTGTATGTAAGCTCACTTGTGCACCCACTTTTCATACTGAGAATATGCGAAACCAGTTGGTAAAATGAATGTTAAAATTGAAGTTATGTATGATCCTTTTGTATTTTCATGATGTTCTATGCTGTAAGTCAAGTTGAATGAACTGCTTCAAACACAATGGCATTTTGACTTTATCATGAGAGACCAAGCAAATCCACTTTAGAATTCACACTTCTCCTAATTAAATATTAATTTCTTATTAGCATAATTTGCATTGCATACCGTCTCTTGACATTATAGATGAACTAAAGTGTGTCAAACGTGTTAAGTATAGGACATATTCAGTCTGTTCGTTTGGCTATCTTGTAATTTTTAACTTTGGTCGTTGAAGGAAAAAGTTGGCCTACGTGTGTGTGTCAATTGGATTAAATTGGAAATAAGTTGAAATTGGAATAAATAAATTAAATACCAATTGGATTAAATTGGATTAATATTTAACGAAACATAACTAGCTGGGCGCCAGCACGTTCTTTTTTTAATTATTGAAATAAAAAATAGGACACCCTTCATTTTTGTATCGCAGGCAACATTGTTAACTATCACGGGTATGAACTCAAAGTGTTTCGCCGTATAGCTTCTCGTAAAATTGTCCACTTTTGGCGCGTGCTATTGTACGATCGTAACAAAGACATGTCAGGTGTTGATGGTTAGGGCAGGTAAAAGCAAGTCATTAGCGCAACTTTTGTTCATGTTTTGTTAGCTGACACTTGCTCTGCGAGTGCAAAAGGAAAAGTCTGAACTTCAATTTGAAATTTACGCGACGGCCTCTGTGCGGATGAGGCTTCCTTTTTTTGTTAGATTTCATGATAGAACGAGAGTAGTGATCCTTCAACAAAAACCGAGTGAAGGTAATTGAAAATTCATGATGACAGACGATTCGCACCTTGACTAGTGCATGTGAGTTGCATAAAATAAAGGATTTGTTCAGATGTGTAATATGAGTAATTTCTGAAGATATAATGTGTCGTCATGGTAACAGTTTACATTTAGTTAATAGTAATAAAACCACTCGATAGTACGAAATCATGCGCGGAGTTTTATCATATAGTGACTTCAGTGAAGCTAACGGCCGAGATTGTTGAAAGAGCCCTCGAAATTTTGAAGCACCTTGAACTTCAAAACGCTGGATTTTCATCGCTCATTCTAGCTGCAGTGGACAAATGGTGTAAATGAAAATTCAAACGGTAAAATAAGGGAAATTATTCTAATAATTTTACAAAATAACAAATATTTGGATTTATTATAGTGTGCTTATCACCAATAAGCGCGAATTATTAGATGTAATGTCGGTAGAAAATTGTCACGTCAATAATGGCCATTCATACCAAATTTGTTCATACAGAGAGCGGTAAAGTTGAAAAATGAATGAAAATTTAAAGGAGGCGTTAATTTATTCAAAAACATCAATCACAAACCCTCTTCTTTGAATATGATACTTCTTGATTGCGTCGATAGCTGTTCAGAGAGATTGAAGAATGATGTGTTCTGGAATGGCCTTTATAAACGATTTTATGTTGTCGGTATCACATTTTAACATTCTATTGCCGTGTGTAACTATCCGGGAACATAGCTTTGAAATTAAATTATACGTTAACTATTGTTTATAGCAACTTGAGGACGTTTGCACAAAATAGAGAACACTTTAAAATTGTCGTACGTGGCGGCAACCACCAGTGCAAGTCATTTTGCGCTCACCATAACGTATCCTTTTTGGGAAGTAGGCTTGTGACAATATTGCTCCGGTTACTCATGTCAGGCGGTAAAGGGTTAGGCGGGATTCGAATCGGTTTACTTTAAACTTTAACAAAACGAACAATTTGGTGATTAAAGGGAGCTAACTCGACGGTCGTCGGTGGGTGTAATTAATTAACTATCGGTAGACAATCTGCCGACGCACCTTACAATAACTCTTGAGTGAGCTAAACTCACCAGGAGAACACCGCAATGCTTCACAGTCATCTTTGGACGAAGACAGCAGCAGAACAATTAATGATATTCGATGTGGTTCCCCCATTTTTCATATATGATTCTTTCTTATGACAACGTGGCCGGTCCTTTGAGTGTAGAGAATATCTTATATTTGTCAACGTTTGTGGGGGTTTACCTGAGGGTGAAAATTTCTTTGCCTTCAAATTTTACACAAAAATGGTCCGGTAAATTTTATCAGGTAATTCCGAAATTTGTCAAGTAATTCCGTTTAACACAATGAAGTATTTTCATATGATGGTAGTCCATATAAATTTGTTTGCAGTCTTTAATTTTCATGATAGCATGCGTTTGTTGCCATGAATATTTGCACGCTAATTACATTATACCTATTGCCACATCTGAATGCCCCGCAGCTCCTGATAAAAAGAAAACAAATGAAAAATAGCAAATAATATCTAATCTGTCCTGCATTATAATTTCAAGCGGTATCCAAGACCAATAGCCAAGCTTCCTGCTTGCAGTAACATCTCGTTCGGACCCTAGTGGAATCTCAACATCAATCCTAATTCTAAACTCAGTCAGTGTCGCTCGAGTGACCGTACTGTGAGGGTGTGTGCTGCTGCGGCCCCTTCGAATTGTCTATGGCTTCACCACAGCTACGTCCTTGGACGTGAACTTTAGCTGCAGCTTCGTGTGCTTTGTTCTAGGGACCACAAGATCGCGTATTGTGTTTGCTAATATTTCTAGTTGAAGAGAAATAAATTCGGTTTAAGAGGAGGATGAGACTGCAAAAAAAATGAATTTTTCTGCTTTACTGTGATGGTGTTTAGCAGGTGCTTAGAGCCGTGGAACTGACGCTGCCTGACAGATGAAACCAAACAATTGGGTAAGTGTTAACCGAGTCCGATTGACGCGACTGACATTAATTCTGTTTTTTTTTTAAATATCAGTTATACAGTGAAGATGCCCACGAACTTCGAAATTATATTCTCAGATGATTTTTATTATACGTAGATTAATAGAGTTCATTTCCACCAAATCTAAGTCAGTGAAACCATTAGACGGTCTTGAAAAATTTTTTCTTCAAGTGAAAGCTATTAATTAATTAGATTGATCGGCTGCTAACTTTATTCCGGTCTTTAATGACCAAGACGGAACCTTGATCATTAATTCTGACCAGGAATATTATTACTTTTTGTAAGAACCGACCATGCAATGACCTGACAGATAATTCTGTAATCATAAACTTGAAAAATCCTATACTTTCAGTAATCTCATACCGTCAACTGGGACTGGGGTGACTTCGGCCTCCGGGGGTGACTTCGGCCACCACTACAACAGAAACAAATGGCAGCAAAACAAAATAATAAACGTTGGCCAAAGTGACTGGGGTGACTTTGGCCAACGTTTATTTTGTTTTGCTGCCGTTTTTTTTCTGTTGTAGTGGTGGCCCAAGTCACCCCAGTTGACGGTACTCTCAATAATCCTATACTTTCAGTAATTTAGTAATACTATACTAGTGAACACTACTATTGTATACCCTCTTTTAACTCACAAGCGTACAAGTGAGCACGCGTCAATGCGTCATCCCGTTAGATATTAAAGCCCAGCTTTCCGCATTTGTTGCTAAAGTCTTTCAGTGCATGTTTCTCTTCAATGCTTAATCAATTCCAAGTTTCGTAGATCTATAATTTTCATCATGAAGGTTATATAATTTTTCAATTATGCAACTAACTTACTACCGTCATTGTATCTAATTTCTCACTTTATGTTAAGTAGGTATTCGAAAACTAATCCAACTATTTTTTGTTTCCTAACGATATTTGAATAATTTTTCCTGCATTTTCGTTTTAATGGTAATTTACATGAATTAAAATCCGTAAATGCCACATTGCTGCTGGCAAAAAAAATTTTATTTTAGCGCTCGGACGCAGCATCTATCGAATTCGTCGCCACATCGCCGTGACGTGGCGTCTGCAACTGGCCGGGAGCCTCGTGCATGTGATGGCTTTCCAATATCGCTCCTGTATTGCTGTGGGCAATCCTAACGCCCTGGACACCAGAAAGAGATTCATGTATTCTCATGAGAGAAAGCAATTCATAAGCTGCCATGGGGGAAACATTGATTCGATGGCAATGTGCATGGAGTATGCTACGTCTGAGATCATTGTATGATTGTACGTTCTCGAGAATTTATTTAGCGGTGTTAACTCCATTTAACTTCAATTAGAAATCCATTTTATTTTGCAAACAACTGTCTGGTTGTAATGTTCTATTTATTTTGATTTTGGTCCAACTTATTGTAATTTAGATAACTTGTTACGATTGTATGACATGAGGTTACAAACGAGGAGAACAATCTTCTTCCGTAAAGATCAACAAGCAAAATGAATTTCTGCGTTCCTTACCAATCGAGTATCGAGATCGTTTTTGTTGAATACCATAACGTCGAATGCATTTTATGAAAGAGTGACATAATTTACGTTTCATTCGATTCTGTGGGAGCGATCAACGATCAATATTGCCCTCAATTCTTGTCGATTTCAGCGCCTGTTTGTAGATGCGTTTTCGATTGATTTATGTGTTTAAACTTCGGAAATGTAATTTTGTCCATTCAGTTGGTGAGGTAACGACCTTGAATTATGCGACGAGTGGCTCAAAAGTGGACCATTAAGATCGTGCCAATCGTTAAGCTGGAGCTCACAAGAGGCCAATTGAAACTCTTTGGTGCTCTTGCTCATTGCAGATGCTTGTGAGCAGCGCTCCATGTGGCTGCCGAATCGGAAATTGATGATTCATCCCCTTGTGGTTCGGACTGCTATTTCCAACTTCTCTCTTGCTTTTTGTTCCAATTTTAATATATTTTTTAGTGGAAGATTGGAGCATTCAAAAATCCTTTTCAATATATTTTTTAGTGGAAGATTGGAGCATTCAAAAATCCCTTTCAATATATTTTTTAGTGGAAGATTGGAGCATTCAAAATTCAATGGCTTATAATTTCGACCAGATGAATGTATTACTACGTAGTTTCTCGTTCATCGGTCGAAATTACCTCATTTAATTCGTCTATCAATAAATTCTTACATTTATAACTGATAAGTTAGACCAATGAAATGACGTATGTATCTCGTTTGTAGAGCGTAACTCACGATATTAACTTTAGAGGAAATAATTATAAATCTGCTATTGCATGCAGAGTTTCACTGCCTGAACCGTGCACACTGCGCTCAGTCTAATGTAGCTGGGGCTGCTGCTGTAGGGCTGGGGTTGTAGCTGGGCTGCTGCTGTAGGGCTGGGGTTGTAGCTGGGCTGCTGCTGTGGGGCTGGGGTTGTAGCTGGGGCTGCTGCTGTGGGCTGGGGTTGTAGCTGGGGCTGCTGCTGTGGGGCTGGGGTTGTAGCTGTGGGGGTGGGGTTGTAGCTGAGGCTGCTGCTGTGGGGGTGGGGTTGTAGCTGAGGCTGCTGCTGTGGGGCTGGGGTTGTAGCTGGGGCTGCTGCTGTGGGGCTGGGGTTGTAGCTGGGGCTGCTGCTGTGGGGCTGGGGTTGTAGCTGGGGCTGCTGCTGTGGGGGTGGGGTTGTAGCTGGGGCTGCTGCTGTGGGGCTGGGGTTGTAGCTGGGGCTGCTGCTGTGGGGGTGGGGTTGTAGCTGGGGCTGCTGCTGTAGGGCTTGGGTTTTCAATAACGCGCTAATGCCGCGCGTGTCACTTGGCGCTCACGCGCTCTGCAAGACGAGCCTTGCTGCAAAACTTCTTGCGTCTTTGTTGGAGTGGAGCTAAGTTAGCTGGCTGATGTTGATATTAGTATTCCATTGAGGAAAAACCTCACACAAAACTCCTAACTTATTTTTGTAATCTTAGGGCCTCGAACTCCGTTAGAAACATGTAATATTTAGTAGCTCGTCTAAAGCTGAATTGGCAGAGCATTTCAATATGAGAATCGATACAGACAGTTCATATATTGCTATTAATGATATATAAGGGAGATGTAGGTATTTTCGACCTCTCATTTTAGCGAACAAGAATTTGAATAGCTAACAGTTGGGTATTCATGGGGTTGCCAACTGGATTCATAGCCGACTTGTTGGGATTTGGAAAGTAGTAGACGGCACAAGATTTTGACACCACCTGATTAGATGGCGTTAAATAGTAAATAGTTTTAACGCATAGTGTGAAATTTATTGGTTTGCAACAGTTAACTGTGCATTTTTGTTATAAATCTATTCATACCTGGAAGTAGTTTCAATCAATTTTTTAGAAATAAATCCCTAACGATTTCAGAAAATTGTTAAATTTTCATACGAACATTTTTTGCTTATTTTAAATAGATTTCGTAGATTTCACTTCCACCATTTATGCGCTTCAATTGAATTGGATTGAAAGTGTTTGGAATTCTTGCCTCTACTTATTCGTTTGAGTAGAAAATTCGTTCACAGAATTTCCTCTCAACAATTAAACTGAGCAGCTTAATATGATCATTTATCCTGTATAATGGATTTTTCAGAAACGAAACTCCGTTAAAATATGTCGGTGAAGTTGCGTTAGTGTTTCATAGTGGAGTTGAAAGTTGATCTGAGCATCGAACTTTGGTATTCCACCTCTGAGACCAGACATGCTTTACTCTGTGCCGAAATGCACTTATACGTAGCTACGATTCCGCTACTCAGCGTACAGAACATTGATAAATATTCAAGAGAAAAGCTATACACGCTATATTATCTGACGCTAAAATGACTTGAATTTCAATGTAGTGGGGAATCACTACCATGAAAGTTAGTCTATTGTGCATTGCGCTATAGTGCTTAGCCATTAATATATTGTGAACAATGAAAGGATCTGAATTTAATATTTCAATGAAAAAATTGGCATACAAAAGTTATTCATTATTTCGGTAAAGATCCGTTCAATCTGCTAACCTAAATCATACATTGGAAACCTAACACCAGATCGGTATAACTCGTACAGACAACTGTCGTCCAATAACGTACGAACCCTCAATGACGTACATGTTACGTCATGGCATTATTGGCAACAGCAGCACTTCTAATTCTCGCACGACTGATTATCTTCATCACAATGAGTAAACCTTATGCCACCAGTGGTAAGTCCGTTAGATGGACAATAATAAATCCGTGAAGGTGCTAATTTGAGCAGATGGGTTCCAGGGAATTATTCCAGAGCTGTAGTAAGATGGTGATGAGCGCACGGCAAAAATAGGTAGCTGTACTATTGAGGTCGCTGCTGACTATTAATATGTTATATATGTAGGAAGTTCAATTGACGTAAAATCAAAATGAAGTGACTTCACCTTACAAGATGGCGAAAAAAATCAGCATAACTTCCCTTCCAAGCTCATACGTCTGACGATCTCTTCTGTCTACCTTCTTTCATTTGTCTCTCTCCTAGCTAGCTCTTTCACCGAATAAATGCCGCAAACCTTTTCGCCATAGAGGTGTAGAACGCCATAGAGGTGTAGAACGCCATTTATAAGAACCAAAATGCATATTCTAAAAAACTCGATGATTTTAAATCAACAGTTTGCTATGAATAAATATCTTGTAAATTTTACATTAAACAAATTATAATTATTATAGCTTGAAAAATTTTCTAAATATATTTTCCAAAAATAATCTTGATAATTATACAGCAGGTCTATCAAATAATATCATTAAATCATGATCAGTTATGGGTCATCCTGATGGGGTTCAATAGTTTACAGCTTGTTGCAGTGATGCTGCATTTTTTCGCAGCATTTGTGTAAAGTTATTGATGGTTGACGACCATATTATTTTTAGGTTGATGACCATATTATTTTTGGTTCAATTTAATTATTTATGCTGTACTCGGACCCTACATAAAGTTATACCGATCTGAAACCCCGATTTCTACGGCTG